TGCGTTGTGCCTGCTTCTTGCAAGAGAAGCATAATAAAGACTTTCCATCACTCACTCATTGTAGTAGATTTTTGTTTCAGATTTTTCTAACAGGGGATTTAAAGAATGGTGCAAGTTAGAGGTAGATAGTATGGGGATTACTAACCCTGGTCAGTATAGAGTTTGGGCCTGGGTTCCAGGCCCCTTGATTCCAACTAGTCACTATGCTTTCCTGGTATGTCATATTCCCTCTTTTCTCTTTTTAAAATTTCTCTCTCTCAAGCAACTCTCATGTTCCATTGTGAACCCCAGAACCCTAACTAATTTACAGTGTGAAGATTTCATGAGTTTGTATCCTCATAGTCAAGTCCTCCATACCTTATGAGCTACATAGTAGGTTGTAGATGTGAATGTCCACCTGAGTCCCCTTCAATAGGTCACAAGATATGGATCCTGATTATGGAGTCTTCATTCTTTAGCTCTATGTACAGCATTTGCCTGTGGGTGCTTGAGGATAATGTAGTATCTTTTTTTCTTAAATTCTCATGATTTAAAAAAATTTTTTTTTGTGTGTGGCCAGATGGTTTCTGTTTATGAGTCTATAATTGGTAGGTGAGTCTAAATGGCTGGTTATCAAGTTGATGGTAAAAGAGCTGGGCAAGCTATATAATCATACGATATCAGAGCTGAAGGGATCCCAGAAACCATCTAATTCGGGAGCATTTAACTAGGGACTAGGGACTGGTTTTTAAAAAATATATTTTTATATTTATCATATATATTAACATAATTGGCTTCCTTTGTAATTCTATATGTTTTATGCATTTAAAATAATTATTATTTTATGCATTTAAAATTATTCTGAGCAACGTCTGTAGGCTTCATTAGACTGCCAAAGGGGTCCATGAAAAAAAACAAAGTAAAAAAACTCCTGAATTCAAATTCAGCCCACACCTAAACTAGAATCCCTTTTACAACACAACACCCCCTGTTAAGTGGTTATCCAGCCTCTCCTTGAAGACCTCCAAGAGTGGATAATCCACCAACTTTTAAGACAGCCAAGGTTACATCTGTGTGGCCTATCAAGGTGAAAAGTGAAAAATTCAGTCCGTTGAAGTGTCTTATCCACATACCACTACATATTCAGGTACTTGGAAACAACTGGATGATGGACTGAATTTTTTACTTTTTATACAGATGTTTAGGCATCATGTTGACTTAGCCTGAGCTTTGGTTAATCACTCTTCCTCTTGAAAAAGGGGGGAAGAAATTGTGGTGATCTCAGCCTCATGAGTAGACCAGCTGCTTCTCTCACATTGAAAGATACCACCACAGTGTAGCTTGTGGAGAAAATAATTTATTCAACCTAATGTTTATTAACCTCAATAGTGGCTGTGGAGAAGTGTATTTTAATGGGCAGAGGACTGAATAAAAGGACCAGAGACCTAGGTTCTAGTTTGAGCTCTGCCACTGTAACTCTGGGACCTTGGGCAAATCACTCTGGGCTTCATTTCCCTTATATGTACATGTCATTTCTCTCCTCTCCCTCCATACATGTTAGATTGTAAATTTCTTGGCAGCAGGAACTATGACTTTAAATGTGTGTGTGTAGATACATACATATGTATATATACATGTGTGTATGTATATTTGTGTGTATACACACACATGTGCCTGAGCAGGGGTCGTTTTGCAAATATTTCTCATGAGTACTGAAAGATGAACAGATATGCTATGAAATGATGTTTCTCATTGCACCATCCTTTCCATTAGCTCCAGACTCCTTTTTTTCTTCTGGTTTTGATTCCAGGGATAGTGTTGAGATTGATACGGTTCTTTTCCTCCAGTTATATACCCATTACAAATATCTTATATTTACAGCACCAACAGCCAAGTTCATTTATAGACAATCTGAAAGTTCTGTGATTCTTAGTACCCTATGATCCCCCCACACCTTTTTTTTTAAGCACTGAGGATTTGTTTCATGGGTTGTCATGGCTGATGAATTCATTGCCAAAGGGCAAGCCTACTGGTGATGACCTTCTTTATAATTCACTAGATTGGTCCTGGAAAAGCAGACATAATCTATTGGTGAGCTTTCACTTTGGAATATCCTTGGTGCTGAGCACAATAGGTGTGGAATAAAAGTTGAAATTAATCAAAATAACTCTTATATCCTATGTATAGATATTTATACATGGTACCCAAGACCTGCATAGATGTGCCTGTGAGGACTATAAGTAGTTCTCTGGCACACACCTGCCACTATGGGTTCATCCTTTGCAGAGGTGCGCTCATTATTTCTCCTGTTCCCAAAGGAAGGGCCACTTCTGCCCAAGCCACATTAGCTTACAGGATGCTTGAAAAGCAATTGGGATTGTGTTTGTGAATATTTAACTTAGCTCTAGGCCTTACCCATAGTGTACATTTAATAAGTAGTTATTGAGTTAAATAGAATTGAATCCTAATAGATCTAGCATAACTTCCAAAGGCACTACCTCAAAGGATAGATTTAGCAATAGAGCTCTATTGGAGGTTGTTGAAGGGAATTCTTCAGAATATGTGAAATTTTTTTAGCATATTTTCTAGTTTTTTAAATGTTATTTTCAAATTGGGACTTAAGAATAACTTTAGCCTCTGAAGTAATTGCTACCTGAAGCCAGATGTTTATCTGGTTTTTAGAACAGACAGAACACAGTGTTTTATGAGAATTACTAGTGGTATCAATTTACATCCCCCCTCCAATTCTGTCCCCCATTTCAGATGATTCCCTTCAAAGATGTCCTATCCATGGATCCATACCTCCCAAACAAAGTTGTCAAGGAAGCCATAGAATATCAGAGCACTAAAGGACAGAGAGACCATCTAGTCTTAACCATGTCATTTTACAGATGTTATAGGACTCATAACCTAGGTTTGAACCCCAGGTTTTCTGATTATCCATTTAGCACTCTTTCCACTTCACCATGACTTCCTTTCTACCCAATTAACATTCATTAAATGCTGTGAATACTTCTTTCACCTCCCCAGGCCACACTGGTCTCTACATTCTCTGGACTTCTGCATTATGTCTTGTTTGTAGCATTTCTGTGGCATTTGTACATGTAGCAACAGCAAGCCCAGTGTCCTTAATTGGTTCCCTTAGGTGAGTCAGTGCAAGAGAAGGTGAGGACAGTTTCCAACAAGGTGAAATATGTTCCCTTCCTCTCTCTAGAATCACTTTATAGTGAGGTTGGACTAAAAATGTATTTGCAAAATGATGGTTGAATTATGTGGGCAATGTCTCTACAAATGAATGAACATTGATCAGTGTTTAATTCTGCACCATACTAAGTATGGGGGCTAGAAACAGAGAAGCAAGACAGTTTCTGCTTTCAAGGAGCTTGCATTCTAATTAGGAGTGGTAATTTATGAAGGAGAGTTCATCTGTTTGGTGAATGGAGAAGTCATTGGAGCTTATAGTGCTGCAATGGGAAGAATGCCAAAGCTCAAGAGTGCTTGGGGTCCTTTGGAAAGTCATATGAGAGTGCCTGGGGGTCTGGAGGATAGAGATTGGGTGGGCTGGAAGGTATAGTGACAGAGCAGATGATTGGATTCAGTGGGCCTTGGGGTGCACCAGCAAAATGGTGTCTCCATTTTATTGGAATGTTTCTAGTTGGTAGCTGCATGCTTATACAACTGGTGTAAGTGGCCATGTCTGTCCCTCAAGGGAAGACAGGATGAAAGGGCGTGGAACATAACTGTTGGGAAGGGGAGAGTGAGCTGGGGGTTGAACTAGAATAGCAGCTCTGAGTTTCCACTTGAGTGGCTGGGAACGGGAAGGGACAGTATCCAGTTGGGAAAGGAAAGGGGAAAAGATTCCCCAAAGGAATACCACTGCATTTGTGGTATTCCTCACTGTCCTCCATAGTAGTAATACTGATTTACATGCATGTATTTACATATGTGGGTATACACGTTTACATTTATGTATATATGTGTGTTTTCTATCTTTTTTTAATTCTTCTTTTAAAATGTTTTTACATTTATAAATTGTTCTTTTTTAAATTACCTGATAGGGTAGGTATGGTGGTTATGCTAACTTTACAGATAAGGAAACTGTGGTCAGTTAGTTGATTAAAATTTGTTAAGCACCTACTATGTATGAAGCACTGTGCTAAGTGCTAGAGATAGAAAGAAAGGCAAAAGACAGACCTAGCTCTCCAGGTGCTCACATGGTGGAACTAGACTGAGGTCCTTTGATTGCAATCTCAAGAACTCTCCACTCTCCCAAACTACCTTCCTACCCTTGTCCATTCTTCCTAGACAAGCTCCCTGAGAGCAAGAGCCACGATTTGCATAACCTTCTGTACCTAATCAAAGGGTCTTGAACATAGCAGAAGCTCAATGAACAATTTTTATTTGTAGATTTTTGATAACATTTCTAAGCTTTTTCCTCTTGTGACCTCATACAGAAAGTTTTATAAAACTTAAAAAGTAGTTACCTCTTATCACCAGCATTTCTAAATGGTATTTTGGGAATTGGATTCTAAATTTAAAAAAAATACTCATAAAAAAGGAAAGACTTAATTGATTTTTATCTTTCAAGATTCTTATCACAAGTGGCTGAGTTTTTTTAAGTCAGTGTCTCTGCTAGGAACTCTGTAATCTTGTGATTTTCCACGAGCTCCATCATCAGCTGAAGGAGGCTAATGACTTAGTGGTGATTGCAGGTGCTGGCCTGAGTCTTTGGTACCACTTGCAAGCAGAGTCTCAAATTGTCAATGTGGTGCTAATCTGGAAGCATTGTGGCCCTGCCATTATCATGTGCCCCAACCGTGCTGTTCCCACTCCAGAGCTCTTTTTTAGAGCTAGAATGGCATTTACAAGGCAGGTGAAGATGAAGCCTCTCTCTAAGGCTTAGCTCCTCTTGGGCTTGGGAACCCACATCCTTCCTGCTGATAAGGAGGTATGTAGTCGAATCTTTTAAAGGCCTAAAATGCATTTGGCTTGATTTTCTATATCCTATTCTTGGCTTTTAGAAATTGTGCATGCTGGGCAACTACCTCATTCCATTGGACTGAAGGAGTCATCATATCATTATCATCTTCCTCATCACTATCATCATCATTGCTTTACAACTGTAGAACCAACTACAAAGTACTTTTCTCGAAACTGTCCCATGAGGTAAGTAATTCAAGTATTATTGACTCCATTTTGTAGTTATGGAAACTGAGGCTCCGAGTGGGGAAATGACTTACACACAGTTAATAAGCTAGTTAAGTGTTGTAGGTTGGACTCATACTCATGTCTTATAATAACTGAGGTCAACACTTTGCCCACAATATCTTAATGTGGCTATGAGTATGCCAAAGTACACGTTCTGTATAGTCTTGCACATCTGTCATTTCAACCAGGTAAATAACCAATAGCCTCAAAAAGGAATGATGGGGAAATAAAAGGAGGGTCAACTAATCAGGTTTCATCTTTCCTGGAGAAGACATTTCTTCTCTCTGGGCCTCATTTTCCTGATCTATAAGGGAAGGGGTTAAACTAGGTGAAGTGTAAAACCTATTAGAGCCCCTACATTCTACGATTTTATGACCTGTCCCTCACCACTCCACCAAGACCAATTCCTGCCTATTTTGCAACATACACTTAAATTTAACCTCTTCCATAAAAAACCTTCCTTCACTACTCTAGACTTAACTGATCCCTCCCTTTTATGTACTCCTCTAGCATTCATTTACCGAACCACAAAATTTAGTACTTAATTATATATCATCTTGTTCCCTGATTGTTTAATGTATGCAAATTTTGATTCCCTAATAAGGTTGCTTCCTGATAGATAACATTTATCTGTGGCTAGAGGACTATACCTTCTGTCCTTTTTATAGCTTTTAAAGCCTTTAGCATAATGCTGGGCATATCATAAAGCATATAATAAACTAGGCTTGTTGACTCAAAAAAGTGTTGGACTAATTGAAGTCTCAAGTGGCTCACTCAGAAGATGTGAATTTAGCCTTCATTTTATTGTTGGGCTAATGATTTCTTCCGAGTTAACCTCAGCCCAAAGAACTTTGTACTCTCAACTGAGTAGGCCCTTTTATCCTTCTCCCTCTATACTGTTTCCCTTTGTCATCTCATCAGCTCCCACAGATTCAATTGTCATTTCTATGCTGAAGATTCTCAAATCTGCTTATCCAGTGCTAACTTCTCCACTAGTCTCCAGCTGTCTATTGGACATCTCAAAGTAGATGTCCTATAGACATCTTAAACTCATGTCCAAAATGGAACTCATTATTTTTCCCACCTTTTCTAAATCTTACCCCTTCTAAACTTCACTATTACTGTCGAAGGCATTATCATCCTCCCAGTTTCCTAGGAGAGTCTCCACTCACAACCTGGTTGTCATTCTAGACTCCCTCTCACTCCCCACATCATATATGTTGCCAAAGCCTGTTGATTTTACCTGTCTATTTTCATTCCTAACTTTCTTCTGCCCCTTCCATTGACCAATGGCCAACCTCTATTTTTCTGCTCAGAAAAAATAATGGTAAAATGTGCCACCTTCTCTCCTCTGACACTGCCATCACCCTGGTACAGGCCTCACACCTCATATCTGAACTATTGAAATAGCCTTCTGGTTGGTCTGCCTGCCACAAGTCTCCCCCTCTTCCAGTCCAACTTGTATTCAGCTATCAAAGTGATCTTCCTACAGTGTAGATCTGGCCATGTCACTTCCCTTCTCAATCAACTCCAGTAGCTCTCTGTCACCTCCAGGATCAAATATAAAATCCTTTGCTTGACATTCAAAACCCTTCATAATCTGCCCCCACTTTCTTCCCATTCTTCTTACACCTTACACCCCACACATATTCTTCAGTCCAATAACATTGGCCTCCTTCCCTTTCCTTGACCGAGATCTCCTGACTGAGCAATTTCACTGGCTGTGCCCCATTCATGGAATTCTCTTCCTCCTCATTGCTACCGCCTGGAAATTCCTGAGAAGTTAAGTGACTTGCCCAGGGTCAAGTCACAGTTTGTATATTCCAGAAGAAGGACTTGAATCTAGGTCCTCCTGGCTCTGTGTCCACTGTATCACACTGCTTATGTTGTGAGAGAAAAGACTTAAAAAGGCAGAGTCAAATAAGATTGTAAAGGGCCCTAGATGCCCACATAAGAAGTTGGGGCTTTACTTACTTGGCAAAGGCTCTAGTATCTATAATTTGGTATTAACCAAATTAGAACTTAGAATTCTCATATTTTGATTTTTGTGGCAAAGTAGAAATTGAGTAGGGTTGTGAATTACCAGTTTTTGTTGACAACCAGCAAATCTAGCCTGAGGAGTTCTTGCAACCCTTTAAGAGGCCCAACTACTTTTAATTTTTTAAAAATGCAAAAGAAAACCAGTAACTAACCTAAGCTGCCCTCTGAATGTCCTTGAAGCCTATCTACTCCTTCAAATAAGCTCCAAAACATTTTGGAAAAAACAACTTTCTACTTCTCTATTTATATAACCCTTATCTCCATGCCTAGGCACGTACTTAGTCTATTATCATCCAGAAGATATTGTGTTAGGCCCCAGAGGCAGGGAGAAATCTAGTTACTCTACCTAGTTTCTTAATCAGGGTAGGAGTACTACATTACTACATTGTTGCAAGAGTGTCTGAGCTTCTCCTTGGATCAATGACATTGAAATGAAACCCCAAGGACCTTCTGTCTATTTTTATTCTTAATTTTCTCCTGTCCCTTTCACTGACCAATGGCCAACCTCCATTTTTTCTGCTCAGGAAAAATAATAATAAAAGCTTCAATTTTTAATAGCACTTCCAGTTTTATAAAAACAGTTTCCATACAACACCACTATGAGGGTAAATAATGCAAATATTATTGTCCTCACATTACAGATCAAGAAATGAAAACTCAGAGAGTATCTCATTTTTGCCTCAATTTCAGCTTCTGTTCCTCAACTTCTTCAGATCTCACTTTAAGAGAAAAAATTATGTTGGATCTTAGGTTAGAAATAGAGATGAGTCATACATTCCATTTTCATCTCCAAGCCTTTGCATAGCCTGTCTGTCCCCCAGGTCTGCAATATATTCTCTCCTCCCCTTGACTTCATATCCCTTGTTTCCTTCAAAGGTCAGTTTAAATGCCTCCGAGACAGTGTGAGGTAGTGGAAAGGCAACTAGACAAGTCCCTTTGGCTCAGCTCCCTCATCTGTAAAAAGAGGGAGTTGGACTAAATAGACAAAGGCATTTTCTGGCTCTAGCATCTTAAGATGGAGTCAGGAGCTCTGGATTCTAATCCTGGCTCTATTCCTAATATACTGTCATTTAAGTCTGTTACTTCCCACTTGTAGGCTCTGGTTTCTTAGAATTGAGGCAGTTGAAACCCACCACTATAAGTGACCTGCTCAGCCCAGCCCAGCCACTCTGCATAATTGGTCCTTCTGGAAGAAACTGCACTCTAGAAAGAAGCTGGGCTTCTGATTGAGCAGAGATACTGGGTGTCCTACAAAGAGTCATGTCAGCTTAATAGCAAAGCAACTTGTAGCAAACTTGATGAGGACCCTCCAGAGAGAGAACAGGGAATGGACAATCCAAGGTGCACTGATGATGCCTCACTACCAGTTTATGCCTACTCTTTCCCATCTTGAATTCTCTTATTTATTTACAGGAGAATGTGCCCCTAGTGTTGGGGGAAATGCGTTGTAACTACTGTTCTTGCTATTTTTTGTTATTGTTCAGTCATTGCAATTGTGTCCAACTCTTCATGACCCCATTTGGGGTTTTCTTGGCAGAGATACTGGAGTGGTTTGCCATTTCCTTCTCCAGCTCATTTTACAGATGAGGAAACTGAGGCAAACAGAGTGAAGTGACTTGCCCAGGGTCACACAGCTAGTAAGTGTCTGAGGCTAAATTTGAATTTAGATCTCTCTCTCTCTGACTCCAGGCTTGGTGCTCTATCTGCTGCTTCACCTAGCTTCCCCTTGCTATGCCATTGGAATAAATACCTTTGCTAACTTATACCTACTGATTAAGGGGAAGTAAACTGGTAGTGTTGGAGTCTAGGATTGCTAGGAACCCCAAAATGCAAGTGTACAGGGAAAGGGTCTGCCTCAAAAGAATTTGACCACTTAAACCTTCTTTTTCAGCCCAAGTAGAGAGTTTATTAGTTTATTAGTAAGTCTAGGCACTTGATGAGGATAAAATGGATATTTTTATAGGGAAAGTGGGAAGATTTGGATGGGATTAAGGAGTGGCAAATAGCCTGGGGTGGTCCACAGGTAACAGAGAATGGAGAGTTGAATGAAAAGACAGTTGAAAAGATTATACTAGGATGACCAAGATGCTTCAGGTGAACCCTAAGGATCTGAGTTCAGAGGCTGAGCTGCTGAAATTTGTGGGAAAGTTCAGAGGAAGAGGTCCAGATCCCATACTCTGTCATTCCCTCCTCAAATAAATGGGACCCAAAATCTTTTGGGGTAAGGGGCAAAGGTCTCAGCTTCTGAAAGTGCTTCTTGCTTGTAAGGGCCATAGAGCTGTTCCTGCCTCAAGGGGGTCCTAGAGGGGAGGTTGACTGGAACCGAGCACAGGCTGCATCCTGGGGACAATGGGGGTACATGGGCTGGTACCCAATGTTTGCTACCAACTGTAGGTGAATGGCCTGTACTCTGGAAGACAAAATCTGACAAGCATCAAGTCTGACAAGTGAGTTCAATATGTAGGGCCCAAATGTAGGGAGAATTCAAAGTGATGTCAGAATGGGGGAAAACAAAGAAAGAAAGCAAGAGCCGTTATTAGAATCATTTACATTTGACCTATAGGATTATCTGATCTTGTTACTTCCCCAAGCTTCCACTCTGATTCCAATTCCTGTAGGAGGATCTGATGCTATTGGGAAGTAATAATACTTTTGCTGGTAGAAGTTTTCCACCCTTGGCCAGGCTGACTTTTACCCCAATTATAACAAAAGACTTGGGAGGATACTTAAGTAATGATTTGGCCAAATAGGTTACCTCCCTCTAAGAAATTTGATTGCACTGAAATTCTCTTCCTCAAACCAAACTGAAGATGTTTCTGATTTAATTTTGGTAATTTGAGATATGGAATGATTACACATTCAGGTCAAAACAGCAGTCTGTGCTCAATTCTGATAGGGTTGGGATCTGGACCCCCAAA